AAGGACTCAGAACTGTTAGAGCTGAATGTATGTGTAAGCATTCTGTACAGACTTGATACATCTAAACTGTAGCTTAGTTAAAGGAAATGGTGTGTATTTTCTACTCAGTATAAGTAATCAGTTCTAGTGTCATTCTAAGAATCTTATCAACTAGTTCTGAGTAAAGAGCTTTTTCAAGTATTCTAATAAGAACATTATTAAATCTGAGTACAAATCCTACCTTTCAGGCTAGAATATTAAACTCCTGAAAGAAAGTGTTAGTAGAATGTTTACCCTGTTATAGAGACACAAGCTTGTTCTACACATTGTACTTCTTATTCAGATTAATAAAGAAAGTATAGAGCTACTCTATAAATTCTGAATACAACTTATTGTTCTAAAGTTAGATCAGGCTTCTAATCTAATAGCTTTTAATCTAGTTCTAGGCCTAGGTGGCTGTATTGTCTTCTTTCATAAAGGAGAGAATGAATAGAACACAATTAAGATCTAAGGATAGATTAGTTAAAGTAGTAGCTATATATAGTTTGACTTAGTGTTAGAAGTCCTTAAAGTACTACTTATTAAAGTCTAAAGGGTAGGCTATATGTACTTTCTTTCTAGAGTAGGTTACAACTTCTGAAACAATTAGAACAGGTTCTGAGAGGGTTGAGGGCATGTAGTTAGTAAAAGCCTTTTAAATAGAGGTTTACACATATTAAGCTAGGTCTACTTGTAACTACTAATCTAGTAGGACAGTAGGGGTGGTAGTTAGTGTAGAAGGGTCTATGTTTATACTATAAAGGAATCAGCACTAAACTAAAAGGAGTAATGAATAGAAGAAGAGTAGTAAAAGTTTAAAAGAGTTTAGAAAGTTTAAAATTTTAAAAATGTAAAAGAGTTAGGACAAAGAAAAGAGATTAACACAATAGTAAGTACTAATGCTTGAAACATAAGAGAGTTGTAGGGTAGTAATAAGTAGTCTTAATCTAATGTTAGTAACAGTGTAGAGAGGACTTAAAGGCTTAGTAAGGGGACCCAGACTACAACTATCCTATACAACAGAAATATAGAATGTAAGTATTAGAACATAGTTGAAACTTATGAAACAGGTAGAGAGAGAGAGTGAGACAAGAATAGAGTATATAGAGTGAGTCTAAGAGTACAGGACTACCTAGAGTAGACAAGATTAAGACTATAAGACTAGTCTGATCTTATACACTTATATATACTAAACTATATAAGAGTACTTAGAGAGTATGAGCTACTAAGAATAATAAGCTATAAAGAATGAAAGAAAGGAAGGTCAAAGATAAAGGTATAAAGAATAAAGGGATAGACAAAGAGTAAGAGACTATAGAATGAACAAAGAATGAAGGGGTGGGTAAAGGAATAGAATAATAAAGTAAGGAAGGGTAGTAGTAAGAGTTAGTACATATATAGTTTATAGATAGTACTTCTAAGGGACAGAAGTCCTGAGTTCTAGTATAGAAGGGTGTAGAACCCTTAAAACTGAAGGTACAAGAGTAGAGAACTGTAACAATAACTTCTTTTCCTTTGTATTTCCTGTGTTCTAAATTGTTAATAAGATCTAAACATTAAATAATAATTCCTTTAACAGAATAAGACTTACTTTACTTACTACTCATATTTAAAGTCTTTGTACAACAAGTTATTAATGTCTTACTTTGTCCCTAAGTTTGGTCTACTGATTACTTAGTAGTGTATATAAACAACATTATAGATAATGTCTATTTCAAAGGTGTAGTAACATAACATGTATTAGGGAGGTAGGGTGTAAGTTAGGAGTAGGGAGGGGAGGGTAGAATAGTATTAAACAAGGTAAGAAAAACTATTATACAATACAGGCTAACAAGACTACAAGTTGACACAATAAGAGGCTTAAAAGAAAGAGCTTTAAGCTATACAGATTAGGAAACAGGAGAGAGAACTAAACATACTTGAGTAAGAAGTTAACAATCTAGTGTCTAGACATTAAGGTTATTCTCAGTCAGTAAGAAGATACAAAGTAAAAGATGGAGAACAAACTAGGACAGTAATTTACTAGCTAAGACATTCACCAGCTCTGTTAATAGTCAGGCAATAAATAAAAATCAGAGGGAATAAAAGAGAGAGAGGGAGCTGAGACAATGTTGAAGGAACAGACAAAGAGTATAATCTGTCAAAGAGCTAAACAACAAAAGATTGTTAGCTACTAGTATAAAGGATGGAAAAAGGGTACAAACATTTGGCAGCAAATCAAGAATCAAGACACACATCTGAACCAACAAGAGAGAAAAAACAGAAGACAAGGAGAAAGGACAGTAAGAGAGGGGGGGAACAATAAGGACAGAGCTTAGATAAGCTTATACTCAGTCAAGAGTGTAAGTAATACTGTAGAACTTAGCTAAGAGGTACTTGACAAGGATCTGCTTAATAACCTACTAGAGGGGCATACTGTAAGTAATGTAGTTATGTATGCCTTAAAGTATGCCTGAGTATAGGATAGTAAGCCTGTTACTATTACTTGTAAAAATGAGAGAGTCTAAGTCACTATAGTCTAAGAAGTTACTAGAGGACTTACTATAGTTGTAGACAACAATGTTTCTAGACTTGAGTCTAAGGTTAGTACAGGTGTAAGCATCCATACCTGAATAACAAATAACAACCTAGTGTGAGCTTAGTTGTATTACCATATTTGGCAATAATACAAAGCAGCTCACTATTCTTGTCCTCTGTGTCAGGATTGATTACAAGACAGTAAGAAAGAGTACTACAGATAGGGAGCTGAAGGCTTGCTAGGATTGTTCTGTTATTACAAACAGTAGTAATAGGCTAGAAGAGATCCTTAAGCTGAGTAGTATCAAATTGGTTTCCTAAAGAGTAAAGTGTTAGTAAGTAAGATTAGAATGAAGGGTGGAGAAGGGGAAATAGAACAGAATGTACTAAGATTGACTATGTTACTCTTGAAATTTGTAAGCTTTACCTTATTGACTACAAATGTGACAATGTTCTGAGTATAGTAACAGTCATTAACTCTGACAGAGATCTTAGGAGTCTAGTCAACAAGACTAAACTTACAGTACTCAACATTCTTCTAGTCAGTTTCAACATTAGTAAAGAGTGTCTAAAGAATAGTAATGTTCTTGTTCTTCTCCTCTAAGGCAGACTTCTTACATTATACAGTTAAACTGTTCTACCCAGCTAGCTTTAACTCTAAGCCCTTTAACTCCTCTATAAGTTTAACAGTATTATGAAACTCTTTGTTGACAGTGTTTTCAATCTTGACAATGGTACAAGTAAGATAGTATTCACTACACACAAGGATGTGCTAAGGGTCAGTCTTATTAAACTTATAACTAGTAGTAGTATTGACAGAGATAATGTACTTGTTAGTAAGTGTAAGAATTCTGTTACTAGGGCAGCTGTTACTGTCCTTCACTTTCTAGAAAAGGAACATGAGAGTGTCCTATATACTGTCAGACAGTCTAATAATAGGAATGCTTAGACTAGTATTAAAGGGGTAGTTAAGACTGAAGCTAGGGCTAGTATTGTTCTCAACCCTTATCAGAGGTAGACTGACTAGCTTTTGGACCAACCCTTCACATAGAGCATTTCACAATTCCTTACCTTAAAAAATAACTTACATAATGATAAACATTATTTAAAATTT